TTTTGTATTTTGTAGAAAATTTGCAAATTAGTGCTCAAGTTAAAAAATCAAATTTATAATAAAAAAAAATAATTAATATTTGACTAGCTATGCAACATGATTAAGTTTTGTTAATATTTTACGATTAGTAAATAATAATCTTAAATAAAACTCTAAATATACCTTTATAGTACAACAAATGATTATTGAACCTTGTTGTATACCATGGACGTTCGTAAGAAGAGAGAAGAGGCGTTATTCACTTGAGTGACTCTTCTTTTTTTTATCGCACAAAATATTTGCTTTAAAAACATTTTCTTGGTAATTTCCTCTTCATTCTAGTTTTTTTTTTAAATATTCTCTTATTTTTATATTTTACAAATACATTGTTGAACTATTTCATTCTCCCGTCTGTTAGTTTTCCAAGCAGAAAAGCCACATATTTATAAAAATATAGTTTACTGGCAATAGCAATATCTAGTGTTGTTAAACTACCTAAATTTATTCCAACTGTAAATCAGCATAGCCATATTTTTAACCAAAAATATTAGAATCAATCTTCAAGATGGAGACTCAACTTAGAAGCTCCCTATTTAATTGTTTAGGCTAAAAGCTTGACCGAGCAATAGAAGAGATAGTCAAAGTTAGGTAATTTAGCAAACACTAGCAATATCTCATTCGAAATTTTATTTGTCAAGTTTTGTAATTAATTGATTTCCCATTCGCAATTGGAGACATAATCTTCAAAATTTGCAACTCCTATACATGATTCTCAAAAAAAAAAATATGAGATCGAATTTTTCAATGTATTTACCAGATCAAGCGAGAAATATCTTCGGCGGATCGCTTCCGGCAGTTAAAGCTCCTTTAAAGATCATTTTAGACCGATATTCAATATAACTAGAATGGATAAATGCGCCTGAAAACTAGCTAAATAAAAAAAAAAACTTGTCAATTAAATATTTAAACAGATCAGGATACGATAGAAGGCGATACTAATCCGAAAAAGATCTACTAATTGAATTAAAAACTCCATTAATAAATTTTACGTTAAAGGGACACTAAGAGATTAAACGATGCTTTTAGCTAAAATATATCCATCGTATTACAGATTATTTTAATCATTCCAATTACCGTGGCATCCGTAGAACGCAGAGCCTCTCATAACTCAAATTTAAAACAACTTATCTACGATTCTGTTATGACAACAAGATAGCTTTTTAATTTCTCTTTAACTTTATTAGAAAATAATGTCCCCTGCAAAATAGAAAGGCTAGGATAAATATTTTTATAATGTGCGCTTTACTCATTTGTTATTAAAATTTACTAATAGAAATATGTCTTAGGCCACAGTCATAGTTGATCCGATCCGACACGATTTAACAGCTGATAGATTTTTAAAATCGGTTTATGAGAATCAATTTTTCTTTATTAAAACAAATATTCTTAGGTTATTATCATGTATAGAATTAAAGATAGAATTAATATTATTTTTTAAAAAATTGATCTCATAAACAGATTTTTAAAATCAATCAGCTGTTAAATCGTGTCGGATCGGATCTACTATGAATGCGGCCTTAGTCCGATCCAATATGATTTAAAAAAGTACGATATTTCAGCGAAAACGTAAAAAAAACAAACTAATTTTAAGTCCCCAAGAAAAATATATAAAAAAAAATAATTTTATGTTATTCGTGAAATGAATTTTTATGAAAATAAAGCAAGAAAACAAAATAATTTTTATTGGTTAGGTCCGGATAAATTTTTTTTTGACCGAATGAGAGAAAAGTCTTTCCGGAGTTGATTTAAATCTGAATGGATTTGGAATCAATCCATAAGGGGCTCAGGAATGCATACAAAAAAATAATCATGGATTTTGAATTGATAAGATTTGGATTCTTACTTTATAAAATATTTTAATTTATCAAAGAAGAATATTTAAATCTTTTCTAAAGAAATAAATAGGAACTTACGCCTACACTATATGCTATATATCTTTAGCTGGAGCCTTGAAAATATATTTGAAACGGAAATTTATAAAGGATTCTCATTTAATTACATTTTCCAATAGATTATTTCGTGCGAAATTTCAATTTTAATTTCAAATATAAAATTATTTAGAATTATTTATTGTTAAAATTAAATCTTAGGTATGAGGGGATAAGGATGATATTAATTTAAAATTATATTTTTTTTTTAAATAAATTATTTATTTGCCAAAGAATTGTAAATTAAAATTAATCATTTTTTTTTTAAATTAAGTTATTTTTACAAATTTTTGTTTTTTTCCGGTCATGGGTTAATTTATTTGAATATTTACTGATATGATATGTTGTCAAAATGTAGTAGCAAATAATTAATTTTTTAAAAATGTAAAATAAATACAGGTGAAAAATGTAGAAATAGAATTTACGGGAAAGGATAGGGGATAAAAAAAAGGAAGTTTGGAATATGGAAGGTTATTCAATGGAATAGATGAAGCTTAGATAGTTAGAGAGGATGATGGCGGTAGCAAGTCTTTGGCGTAAGAAAAGGGATTCCGTAGGCTGATCTTTTTTTTCGCGGCTCCGTTTGCCTAATTCTTTGAAATATGATTATTTTTTCTAATAATCAGTTTTAGAATTAAATTATAAAATTTAATTTTTGGATTTATTTTTTTCTTTAATTTTGATTTTTGCATTTCCAATCTATTTTACAAAACAATGAATTGTTCGAATATGGATATACCTAAATGTTCGGAATTAAATGATAAAACATTACCCTACATCTCCTTGATAATATATCTTTACCTGACCCCTCTGGTATCTATTATAAGTGTTATCGGAAATGGAATGGGCTCTTAGTCTCACACCTGGAGTCAAATCATTTATTCAAAATATTGCGGAATAGATATGAAAGGGAGTTAATGATAGTATCTTAGTTAAAGCCTTGTATACAGTTAATATAATTAGTTGCGTATTAATGATAGGATGGCCTATACTTGATTCTTACGTATTTTAATTTGGTAAAAAAAATATGGGTAAACAGAAATTGGCAGATATATGTCATTCATTGTCATGTTTTAGTAAAGACACTTTTGATTTATAGTTTTTTTGATATCTTTGATGTTTGCTAAAGATCAATTTATAGCCATAACATATCCTTACAAATATAATAAAATTTACAACGCTAAAACAGCCAAATGTGGGTTGATAATATGCTTTGTTCATTCCATAATTTGATGCATGCCAATTGCAGCTTGGTATAAATTGACCATTGTTCATTGCGTAAAAAGAAATACCGATAATTCTTATACTCATGATACGGATATACCAGAATTTAAATCCAACAATCAGATGGGGAAAAAATATATGGAAGAGTTTTCTAATATTAAGAGCATTTGCTTCGAAAATTATCCCCTTTTTCTTGATAATAATTTTATATTTTTTTGACCATTAAGAAAAGGAGAAATATTGTCAATAATTATTTTAATAAAGAAATCGTAAGGTCGGAAAACTGTATTGTACACTCTACATTAAGGAATGTTACCAAATTGGAGATATCAAGTATTAATATATCAAGCTAATCATATTTAGTTCCTTATTCTAATTCTGAGAACCCCATCTAGAAATTAAGAGAATCTTGGAACAAATTTAACGAGGACAGAGATGAAGAAAGAAGATATCAATCTAAAATTAAAAACGAATATACTATTTATAAAACAATTCACCTGTTTTATGTTGCCCATCGCAATTTTCTACATAATCTTGGCAATCACTCAAAATATTCTAAGTTTAGATGTCTTAAACACGAGCTGGTCAATTTCTTATTTTTTAGAATTTTTATTTGTAAGCTTAACCTTTTATATTAAACTTTTATTTAACAAAAATTATAGAATATATGTATTTCTTACTATAAAACCACATATATTAAGTATTAGAATAACTTTTTTATAATAATTTTAATTTGTTTGTAGAATATCAATGTTTTTGTAGTTTTTACTATTCCTTTCTGTTTGTGTAATACTTTGATTCATGTAATTTTTATGATCCTAGATGACACTTTTATTGTCAAAACAAAAAAATAAAATATTTTAGATTAGATATCTTTTATTTATTTATTAAAAGATATTTAAATACCTTTTATTTGATACACTTATCAATTTTTTAGTGGATACTATTATTTGAGTCAAAATATATTTTACCTTTTAGTTGATACCCATCCATATCAAATTAATTTACCCCTTTCCCCTTATAAATCTTTGGCATTCATTACACTCTGCTTGACAATAATATTGGTATATTAAATGAGTCCATTTTCTTTTTAGCTTGATTATATAATTATATCTTCATTAACTTGGTTCTTAATTTTTGGGGTAATGTTAGATTTATGTTTAAAACATTGTGGTTGATTAGCAAATAGCTATATGGGAACCAATGTCATATATAATTACCCTATCTTAAAATATCTAAACTTGGCTTAAATTTTAATACTATTTAAATTAACGAATATAAATTTTTATCTGTATCTTCTGGAATGCAAAAAGATAGAGATATTTTTAAATAACTTGCACCTTGGATAAGATCTTAAAAAATTAAAAAAGATACAAATATCAATGTCCAATTGCGTTGAGATGTATATCTTGGTTCCAGGAACTAGGGCCACCCCATTATGATTAAGAAGAGGAAATGATTTTGTAAGCCCTAAGGATTCTTACTAGCCCAATTTAGAGCTTAGTATATAACTACATTTTTAAGGACTAATACCCAATGACCCTTTTTAAAGCCAACAATGGTGGGCTGAGGAAGCTAATTTTCTTGACAATAATATCATGTTAAATTTTAGCATATTTAACTGTTAAATTTTAGCATATTTAACTGTTAAATTTAAGTTTTTTTTATAAAAAATGCTTTCTTTTTTAGAGAAAAAGTAAAAATTTTGCTATGGTCATTGATACTAATCAATATTATTATTTTTATTCCAAGTGTCATTGTACCATAATTAGGAAAAAAATTTGTATACATAAAAAAAAGGGGAAGCATATGATATGGATAATCCATCACTGTAGCTTAGAGTTTAGTAAAATTCAATTTTAATAAACAAAACAACACTATAATCTTATGTATATTATTTACAATAACTTATATTTACATATTATCAGCTATAGGGTTAGAATGTATTGTAACATATTTAATATGAATATCTTGTTTTGGTCTATTTTTATCATTAACAGGTACCTTTTCTAGTAGATCTAAAACATCAAATCCATCTATAACTCTAAATATTAGATTATTTGTTTTGCCATTTTATATATTTACTTGGCAAAAACAGTATATTTCATATCAAGATGGGATTGTTTAGAATATAATATAAAAAATTGAGAGCCATTTGTATCTGGACCCTTATTAGCCATTGAGATCATTCCTCTAGAATCATGTTTTAATGTAATGTTAAGTTCATCAGGAAAGTTTTTTCCCCATATACTTTTGCCTCCTTTCCCAGTTCCTATAATATTTTTAGAGTATAAGACAATCTAAATTACCCAAAGGATCGCCCGTTTGAACCATAAAGCCTTTAATATTTCTATGGAAAATGCAGTTATTATAATAATCACTCGCACATAATGCTAAAAAATTCTTTAGGATGATTAGCATTCAAATTTAATTTAATATATACCTCACAAGTCTTTGGACAAGCATCACAAAATAATTCTATTTTTATTTCACCTAAATCAGTGTGTAAAGTTACAGACTTAAAAATAATATTTATAAAATTACGTAATAAATTAAAATTACCATGTGCTGGTAAGGATGAATGTATGTGGAAATTATTCAAATTAATATATTCATGGACAAACTTACTTAATATCGAAAAACTTAATAGAGTACATCGTCAAAAAAAAGAAATTAGAAATCAAGCTTAAAAGAATTTTGAATTTTTTTACCAGGCTTATATCATTTATAATTTGTTTAATTTTAGGATCTGCATTAATTATCATCAAGTTAAAATTTTTAGACTGAAGAAAATGAATAATTATTGATTAACTTGACAAATTATATTAAAAACTAATGTAAAATTTATTATAATATATGTTGTTATTTTAAATATAAATACAGCTTTAATTATGATATCAAAAAAATATATGAATATTCATCATACAATGTTTATAATTCATTTTCCAAAAATAAATATATCAATATTTATTTGAAAATTTTGATAAAATTAATATCAATATTTAAAAATTACATTTCTTTCATGAGATTCTTATATCTATTCAAATTTAAATTTTGTGATGTGATGTGAAATATTTATAATTTTTTTCATAGAATTGTGATAAAGAATTACTGTTGATAAAATTGACTTTTATTTTTCTAATTATTTGATATAGGTTATTATGGCATGATTCAATTTAAAATATTAATTTATATCTATTTTCATAAACCAACTGGATTATATTATATTAAAATTAATTTACGTTGCTACTTCATGTGACATTTAAATATCAGATTTCATTTTGAATAACTTTCTTTTAATGATATACTAAATAAAATTTAGAAAAGCAAAAGTATCATTTAATATCTTACACCTGTCTAACAGTGTCAATCATATGTCATTTTTAAAATTATTTGATATGTAACTATTCACAATAATACGATGGCTTATGCTAAACGCCTCTGCCGACAATAGCTAATTTATTAAATGCTATTTTTAAAAGTATTGTATTACTGCGTATGTAATGGATGAGTTTTAACCAACAAGCCCAACCACTCATTGTTTTAAAGAAAGTTAGCCCGTCCAACAACCCACCTACCCAAGGTTTTTTTTTTTAATTTATCGACCAGCTCGCCCATTTATTAAAAAAATTTGTTTAAATCTTCCGAAAATCCAGTGCTTAAAATTTATTCTAATGGCAGTTTTAGCTCTCTATTTATTTATTTTAATGCATCTTCGATCTGCTCATTTAACTCTAAAAATATTTAAAATTTACCCACTACCACCTATTGTTTAAGAGTATTTTTTAACTCTCCCGTCATCAATCTAATGTTTAAATTATTTTAGCAAGCACGTCCACATATCCTGTAGAATAGATTGGCGTAAGCGAACATGCTAAAAACTCATAAATTTTCTTTTTATTTTCCAAATAGATAATAAAAATAAAATGATACAGAAATAATAGTATTGAACAAGGGGGAAAGTTCAATTCGCCGGTTAAGTCAGAGGATTGGAATTATTAGTAATTTGTCTTTATTTGACGTATTTATCAAGAATGAAATAAAATGAATAAATTTTATTTATATTTCGGAATATTGAACAAGAATAAATACTATAGAATAAATTGTGTGATTGTATTGCATAATTAAGGAGGAATATTGAACAAGAATAAATACTATAGAATAAATTGTGTGATGTATTCAGCGTCTACATGACAGGATTTTCACTGGATGCAAACACCCTTAAAAAACCTTTGCCTACCCCCCTAAAAAATCGCAGCCTTCGGCGGCGGTGTCTCTTTATCATTATTTTTACCTATTTATTTATTGATACTCTTTTCAAAGAATTTATAAAGGATAACTTAAATTAATCTATATCTACTACCAACTATCTATATTTTGTGATTATAAATAATTTATTTTTTAGATAATAAATAATTTTTTTTAGATAATAAATAATTTATTTTTTAGATAATAAATAATTTATTTTTTAGATAATAAATAATTTATTTTTAGATAATAAATAATTTATTTTTTAGATAATAAATAATTTATTTTTAGATAATAAATTCAATTAAAACCTCCATTATTTACAATGAATTAGTTATTATGGCATTATGAGCTTGCTAAAATATCTAAACCTTTTAAATTACATTTAAAAGGATAGTTTATTTGGAAAACAATGTGTATGATTGTTTGCAATATATAGATTTGGTCGATGAATTGTATTATAATAATACTATAATAAAAGTATAATTTTTACAGCAATAATTTTTTCCTATTTCATCTCAAAATTTAATAGATAACCCCCCAAAAATTTAGCCTACCCCCAATAAAGCAGCTTACCTCCTACCCCCTCAAAAAAATAGGATGCAAAATGTTCCTACCCCTCCCGCTCATGTAGACGCTGGATGTATTGCATAATTAAGGAGGAATATTGAACAAGATGTGGTCTTTTTATTTGATAATATGTTTATACAAAAAAAACAAGTGGTCTTTTTATTTAATAATATAGTTATACAAAAGAAAACAAGTGGTATTCTAAATGAAAATATATATCAATATATATATGTTTTATCGCCTTGAGATGTATTGATATACATGTTAATTTCATTGAATAAAAAGATAATATAAGAAGTATACAATGAATTACAACAATTTAAGCGAACATGCAACATGCACCACCTCCAAAAAATATATATAAAAAAAATTAAAGTCTTGAAAACACAACATGGTACAAAAAATGGGGAAGGAAAGAACTCGTTTGGCATGCGGGAGGTAACTCTTATAATGTTAAATGAGTGGATAGGGTTAATATTTAATGTTACAATAATGGTTTCATTATTAAAATAATACCCAAACCCAATACTTACATTAAGATTAACAAGGAATTATATAAAAAATAATATATATATGTGGATAGTAGGAACTACAATTGGGAAGGGGGAATTATTGTCATTATTTCCTAATATTGGAATATAATAAACAATTATAATTGGAAAGGGGAATTATTGTCATTATTTACTTTTTTTGGAATATAATAAACAATTACATTTGGGAGGGGAATTATTGTCATTATTTCCTTATTTTGGAATAAAATAAACAATTACAATTGGGAAGAGGGAATTATTGACATTATTAACTTTTTTTTGGAATATAATAAACAATTACATTTGGGAGGGGAATTATTGTCATTATTTCCTTATTTTGGAATATAATAAACAATTACAATTAAAAGGGGGAATTATTTCCTTATTTTAGAATATAATAAACAATTACAATTGGGAAGGGGGAATTATTGTCATTATTAACAATGTAACTTATTAATCATAATTATAATAACTAGGAAAAATGGAATATGTATGATGCTTTAATATTTGTAACCAACAATATAAAAGTAAAAAAATATAATGCAATATATTCCTATTGATAATTTCTAATGTGATCAATATGAACAAAGAGAAACTTATCATCTACCTGAATTTCCCAAATGACGTTACTAATTCTCCCAACGACAATCCCCACACGCCATTCTTGATTGGAGCCCACTTTAATAAAGACAGAGTTGCCTAATGTTAATTATCTGAAATTTATTCTTTTTACATTCCTATTATCACAGTCATCGTCTTTTAAAAAACTCCATTTCCATCTTAACTCCCTTCCGAATAATCTAAAAGCAGGTGATGACTTAGTAACCGCATGTTTCGTGTTGCGATAATTTAACAACACATCTTCCAAAATGTCATCCCAGCCTCCTAATTTATATATTATATTTTTTGCTGATCGTACAGCTCTTTCAGCCATAACATTTGACGCAGGATGGTATGCAGGAGTATATATATATGTAGAATTCCCTTTTCTTTTAAAAAGTTATTAAAATCAACAGACCTAAAAGTTGGTCCATTATCTAATACCAATTCTACTGGATACCCAAATCTGGAAAAAAGATTATTTAATACCATAATGGTGGTAGTCGCATTAATGTTTTTCACCTTAATAATCTCTAACCCGCGAGAGTACCCATCAATAATTACTAATCCATAAAAAATTTTAATAGGTCCAAAAAAATCACTATAGACTTGTTACCAGGGTTTGTTAGGTTGTACACAATAATTTTGTTTAACTTTTGGGAGTTTAGGCGTATTAATCATGCACATATTACATCTAAAAATCATTTCTTTAATATCTTTATTGACTCCTGGCCACCAAAAATACCTTTCCATAGTATCTACCATCCTATTCAACCCAATATGTCCTTCATGTAACACACTAAGAAACTTTTTTCTTAACCTTTGAGGAATAATAACTTGTTCGCTCTTAAAAATACAATCATTCTTAATATTCAACAACTTACCGAATGCCTTGTAACCTTTAATCAGCGTATCATTTTCACCTTTTTCCAACACAATTTTTTTTAACTTGGATTAATTCTGAATCTAAAAAGGTTTCTCCTTTAATCAATTCTAAATTGTTAATTATTCTTACATCCTTCATATCATTATTAACATTAACAAAACAAATGATATCTTCCTTAATTAACCTTGATAATCTATCAGGAATGATTTGATCCTTACCCCTCCTATAATTAATGTCAAAATCAAAACCGGCAAAGCCCATTTCTGTGATCTTGGAGACATATTGTAAAGCTTAACAGGATCTACTCCAAACAAATTCACCAGTAATTTATGGTCCGAAAAAAATTTATACCTACTACATATTCTTTCCATTTTTTTTACTGCCAAAACAAAAGACAATCCTTCTTTTTCAATAATTGAATATCTTTTTTCAGCTCCAGCCCATGCCTTAGACATACACTCAATTGGCCTTTCTAAACCATCTTCTTCTACCTGAAATAAGACTGCATCATGCCTTTATTGGACGCATCCGATTCCTTATTTCTATCATAATGTGCAAGAATTGGTGCATTACACAATTTTTCTCTAATTTCGTAAAAACTAGTTCTTTCAATTGATTCCCCAACAAAATTTATTACCCCTTTTAAGTAAATCATATAAATTAGCTGCTAATTTAGAAAAATCTCTTATAAATCTAGAATAATAATTCATAAGACCCAACCAAGAATGTAATTCAT